CTCTCTCTCTCTCTCTCTCTCTCTCTCTCTCTCTCTCTCTCTCTCTCCCTCTCTCCCTCCCTCCCTCTCTCTTTTTGTCTCTGTCTCTGTGTCTCTGTCTCTGTCTCTCAGCTTCAGTTCCCTAATCTGCAAAATGGGGATAATAATAGCACCTACCTCACAGGGTTGCTTTGACGGTCAACAATGAGACGATATATGGAAAGCTTAAAGCACTATATATGTCCTAGTTTTTTAATATGATCTTCTTTATATGTAATTTTAAGATATACAAAGCGTCTTCCTCACAGTATCTCAGAGAATACAAATAAGCATTATTATTCCCACTTTATGAATGAAGAAACTGAGGCTCTTAGGGATGAAGTAACCAGAGTCATGGTAAGGATCAGAATTCAGACCTCTCCAGACTTCAGATTCAGTACTCTTTCCATATGAGCAGCACATATCAATGTGAAATAATGGAGTCTTAATACATGGGGCATCCCTTAACTCAAGGGCAGCTAGGTGATGCAGTGGATAGAGCACTGGGCTTAGAGTCAGGAAGACTCGAGTTCAAATCCAGCCTCAGATATTTACTAGCTGTGTTACCCTGGGCAAGTCATTTGATCCTGTTTGGGTCAGTTTCCTCATCTGTAACATGAGCTGGAGAAGAAAACAGCAAACTACTCTAGTATCTCTGCCAAGAAAACTCCCAAATGGCGTCATGAGGAGCTGGACAAGTCTGAGACAACCAACCGTCCCGAGCTCAGGGACGGTCAGGGACCTCTGCCTGTCCTCCCATCCTCCTTTCTCCCTCAGCGGTTCCCCAAGCACTCACAGAACGAGGGGCGATGGGCATCCCGCTCTCGTCCACTGGCCCGATGCCCTCATATTTGACCCAGCGCTTGTCCTTCGGCTTGCCGCCTTTGGTCCACGTAGCTGACCAGTTCGGGCCACCCTGAGATACGGGCTGCTTCATGCCTCCTGGGCCCTGGCTCTCAGAAACGGGCCAGGTTTGGTACCAAGAAGGATCTGTAGGGAGCATTTGAGAGGCAAAAGAGAAAAGAACAGTAAGGATGAGTCAGTGAGTTTAGCCCGACCCCCACCCCATTCACATACTCCATTCACCCGCTAGGTTTCCAGGACAGTAACCCCTGACCTTTTCTGAGTTATGACATTCTGTTTGTTTGATTTGGTGACTTAAACACACACACAAGTGCACCCTGTTCCCTCCAGATAAAGGGAACAAATAATACATGTTTATTTGTTGTTGTTGTTGTTGTTGCTTTTAAAGTGAATCCAAACCAATTACCTTCTGAGAATATCGGGGTCCAACCTTTAAGATGATTGGAGATGCCCTATGGGTTCTCAGTATAGCCTTCCTCCCCCAGGGGAGAGTCACTGCTTTAAAGTGGGAGAGGATTCCCCAAACCAATATAATTTATGGAAATGGGATTTCCTAATCAGATTTTGTGTCCCCTTCCTTCCCCTCCCCCACCCCCAGTTAGGATCCTACTTTATCCTCCTTAACTCAAATACTTGGATTTCCAGGGCTAGAGGCCTCTCTCCCTTTTCCCTAGCCCATAGACTCCCATGAAATCCAGCCATTTTCCAAGGATATCAATCAGGATAGCCCTGAGAGTCCTATCCCAGGTTGGGAGGTGTCAGTCACTTCAGGGCTTGACCTTGGGCTCTTCCACCTTCATCCCCACTCTCCACTCCCATTCTCCCCAGCAACCAAGCTCTGGCATTGGCCTGCCCTGAGGTCCTCCATGTTCAATTAGGAGTACGGGGGTGGGGCAGGATTTAAGACTTGGCCTCCATCCCTAGGGGCTTGGTTACAGCTGGGCCAGTTCTGGGAAAGGGCAACAGTGGTGCTCCTCCATAGAGTTGTGTCGGCCTGGAAGTTTTCTCTTTCACGGGAGTCTCCACTCTCTTCAGTCACATGGGCCCACAGTGAAAGAAAGCGTCCTGACCCCACTCTGTGTGCAAGTTTGTGGTATATAAAAGGAGAGAAGTTCACAAGATGCAGTAGTGAGGAGAGGGTTAGTTCACAGGGCACCACGGCCCAGGAAAATGTACAGCAGGTGAGGGCATCAGGAATCAGAGGGATTCTCCTGAAGCAAAAAGATTCAAACAATTTCTGTCCCCCTCCCTCACCTCAAAATACCATCCTCTCTCAAACCCTGCCTGCAGAATGGTCTCACAGGGATCTATATATTTATATCCATATCTATCCACACACACATAGGAGATGATGGGGCATGCCGTGATCATCTCCTCTATGTATAGACGTGTGTACACACACACATATACATACATACATGTATGTGAGATTTTGAATGTGCATATATGTGTGCGGATGTTTGTATCAAAGGCAGAAAGAAGCCAGCACCCACCTAAGCAATGGCAGTAGCTGGTTCTAAGGAAAAGGGAACCTGGGGAGGTGCCAGAGCCCTGTGCCAGAACCAGGACCCCCTCCACCCCCACCCCAGCCCCGACGTTTGGATGGGGAAAGATGGGGTTGCTGTCACAGCCGGGGGGAATATTTTCTACTTTCCACCACACTGTCTAACCAGCCTTTCAGGAAGAGTCTGACTTTTGAAGGAGCAAAGGAAGAAACAAAGCATTTAAGCCAAGGGAGATGGACGCAGGAGAGGTCTCTGACGACAGTGATGGACAACGCGGGCCGAGCGAACCTGGGGCGACTCTCCTGGATGCCGAGCGCCCATTGCACACCGTCCTGGGGGCTGGATCATGGAACTGGAAGTTGAGTGTGTTGGAGCCACCGTTCCGGAGCACAGACACCTGTTGGGGTTGGGGGGAGGGCAAGGAGGGAAGCTCAAGATACAGCAGGGAGGAGGGGTCAGTTCACAGAATGCATGGGGGACGCCAGGGCCCAGCAAAAATCCAGCGGGTGAGGGCACCGGGAATCAAGAAACAGAGTCAAATAATTTCTGCCTCCCCAATCCCTCCACCAAATCCCTGCCCTCAAAATATCCACCTCCCCAGGTCGGGGCAATGCTCCCTCTCTCAACCCTTGCCTCAGTGTGGCCTCACTCACCCGGGTCCCTTGATGGCGCGGTAATGTCTGTGCCTGCAGGCAGCTTGGGACAAAGTCGCTGAGGCTGAGCCCCGAGGGGAGGCTGTAGGATGGGGACTGCATGGTGTGGCCAGGACCCACAGACCCAGAGGGGACCAGCTCTCCCTTGGGGAAAGGACAAGGGAGAATTAGGATTGGCTTGGGAAGCCCAAATCCCTTTTGGGTCTGGATGTGGGTTGAGGTGTGGGGAAGGGTGTCTGGACTGTCACCTGGGCTCCCGATGCCCCAACAGGCAGACTCCTCCCCTGGGCACCGGCCATCAGCTCCGTCCCTGCTCCTGCTCCTGGCGCCGCCTCAGCTGCCGGATCAGGCACAATGAACTGCTTGTCTGAGTGACCCAGGAACTGCAGGGGTGGGGGGAAGGGGGGTGTGGAGGACCAGGGTGAGGGAGAGGATAAGAAAGGAGAGGGATGGCAAGAAGCAGGGAACGATGGGAAATGCCTCAGTCACCCAGTCATCCAGGCATACCCTACAGGGATCTCAAAGCACTTTATGACTTCCTCCCCCAAAAGAGAAATGGAAACAGCTGTTGGGCACAGCAACGCAGGAAGGAGGGAGAGAAACTAGCCTAGCTTGGCTATGTGCCTCCAGTGAGGATAGCCAGGGTCCCTCCCCTTAGTACCAAGACCAGGCCATGCCACTTGGGTGAGGGGTAGAAATCATCTTTCCTGAGTTAGGAGTTAAGCATGAAATGGTCATAGCCTTTTCTGTTTCAGCTTTCCTTCGCAGGGACTCCAGGGAGTTCAGAATGCCAATGGGGTTGGCCGGCCTTCAAGTCTCGGGCTCTGGGTGCTCCTGTCCTGCCTCCTTCCCTCCCTCTCTGTCTCTCTCCCTCTCTCTCTCTGTGTCTCTCTCCCTCCCTCCCTCTCTCTTTCTCTCATTGTTTTCTCTCCCTCAGTCTCTCTCTCATCCTCTCTGCTTTGCTTCTGCTTTCTTCACCTTTCTCTCTTTCTCCTGACTCATTTGTACAAGTGTCTCCCTCTGCTCTCTTTCCTGTTTCTCCTTTTCTCTTTCTCCTTCCTTACGCTGTCTCTGTGTCTAGGTTTGTGTGTGTCTCTCGCCCTCTCTCTCTCTGTCTCTCTTCCAGACCTGCACTTGTTGTTCCATGGAATGAGGCCATAGCAGAGAAAGACTTGTCTTTGGGAATCAGCAGTGGGTGTAGGGGAGGTGACCAGCTCGGTGAGGAGAAAGCCCAAAGCCCCCACCGGGGGTGGAAAACTTGGAGATGGGGAATGCCAGTGGGGAGGATGAAGAATAGGGAGAGGCATGAAGCCGAGAGAAGGGAAAGAAGCAGGTGGGAGATGGGAGGGACAGCAGGTGGTCCCTGCGATGGGTGAGGGTGATGTCAGACCAGGACTCTTCTTGGAAATTTAAATACAAAGTGCAGGCTGAGATCACGGACTGACATGGGACTTCCTTCCACCCTACCCCACCCCCGGCTAGAGTCACAGGACTTGCCTGGGTCACATTGGTACCTCCTGAGTTGGTGGGCGGCCTCCACAATCACAAAGGGCAGCGTTGGGAAAAGGGGGAGGGGGAAATTTCTTTGGGAGAAGGAGTCCTGTATGCTGGGAAGGTGCATGGCCACGGCCAGAGTGGAGATTTCCCATGGGCAGTGCACTGGGGTGGGGGTGGGAGTGGGGAACTTGTCCCTCTCTTGTTCACTTGTAATGATGTACCAGGAGTCAGGGAAGTCAGGGAAGCAGACCCCCTATTGTGAGCCTCTTGTACTTGCTGGGACGCTGAAAGGACAGTGCCTGTGACTTTTCTGTGCCCATTTGGCTGCTGGGGGTGGGGTGGAGTGGGAAGTGAAGGCATTCACAAACTGGATTCAATTAAGACTAAAAGTGATGCCACATCAGCAGCTCACTCACTCCAAAATTCTCTGCAATTCTCTTTTTCCTAAACATTGTGTAGGGGAAACTGAGGCATGATTCAGGACAGCCTGGCTTAGAGCTGACAGCCCAGAAGTACCAGGCCCTAACTCCTCAGTGCTTTGAGTTATAACATCATCATCATCAATTGACCCTAGATTCTTCTTTCTCTTGACGTCCCCTGACTTCCTTGACCACTAGGAGGGATTCAGAATGGATAACTTCCCTCTGAGCAGGCTGGGCAATTCGCTTGTTTTCCAGTGTAGCGAAGCTGGCCTGGGAGTCAGGAAGGCTCCAGTCCTAACTCTGACATATACTGTCTGTGCAACCCAGGGCTAGTCACTTAACCCCATGGTTCTCTCTCTGATTCTTAGCTACAGGGAAGGTGAGAACATCCACTGGGAGAAGGAATTTTCTTACCTGGTAGCTCCATGTCTAGTCCCCATCCCTGTCCTGATCACTAGGCTGTTTTCAGGGGGCAAGGGCTGTGTCTGTTTTCCAACGATCCCTTTTCCCCCAACAATATTCTCAATGTTTCCTCTCTCACCCTACCTCACTCCCCCTAATGAGGAGGTGGATATCAATGGGTCCAGTGACCCCAGCCCCTTAATGTAATAAGACTTTGCATGTACCTTGCCCATCCAGGCCTCTACATTCTTGACACCAGTATCTCTAGGAATTAGAGGTAGGGGTAAAGTGGGCACAGAGAGGGGAGAGGTACTTCATTTAGGAGGAAATGTAAGCAGAAGGCCTCACTCTGCATCCATACCACCAGATGATGTAGGAGTGGGATCAAAAGTAGACCAGATCTGATTCCCAAATCAGCGTTCCATTTGCTTCCTATGAGCTTGAGAGAATTCTCCATCCCTTTGGGCAAGTTCCTAACTAATTTAAAGACTTGACTCTGGGAATACAGCAACCAATGTGGTACCACTTGGAGTTTTTCTTGTCCTCGTCCAGGATATATACACGGAAAAATAAATGGGGTGGTGGTGATTATTCTCGGCTTCTTCCCTCTTCCCCATTTCCCCACAAGAGGACAAGATAAGGCTTCCTAGGAAAGCTTATATTTTCTTTGAACAGCAAGGAGCTGGGAGCAGGATGACCCCGGTCCTCTTCCCAATTTCTCTTCTCTATACCTCAGTTTCCCTGAGCATAGGAAGGGGGCCCAGCTGATTTTCTGTGGACTACAGGGGGAGGAGCCAGTCTGCCTTCCCTTCATCTGGTTTGAGGGATTGGCTGGTCTTCCCTCCTTGATCCCTCCCTTCCCTGACCTCAGCCTCTCCTCCCTTGTCCCCTGTTCTTCCTTGGCACCTACCTGCAGGAGAGCTGGTGGAGAAGATGGAGAGTCCGTGAGGGAGAAAGCATTCCCTCCAGCCTCCACCTTGAGCCCACAGCTGTGGGCCTCTGGGGAGGCTGCCAGGAAGGGATAGGAAGGGGAGAAGTCTGGGGTGTGTTCTCTCTCCCTCGTGACTGGGGAAGAATAACTCTCTTACAGGGTGGGTGGGTGGGAGGGGAGGAAAGACAGTCAGTGAGACAGTCAGAGTCACCGAGAAAATGGGGAACTGGAGTGTGGGTGTGAGATAGAGAGAACAGAGAGATAAAAAAGAGAAAAAGTCAAATCAGCAGGAAGGGAGTCTGTAAGCTGGAGAGAGGGAGGAAGGGAGGGAGGAGAGGAAGAAGGGAGGGAACCAAGCAGAGAGTTTCCAATCTCTGGCCTCTTTGCAGCAGGGTGGGGTGTAGGGAAAAGTATTTTTTTGTCTGTAGCTCTTTCCCCTCCCTCCTCATGTTGTGTATTTATGTGTTGTGGGGGCTGGGGGTAGGGAAAAACTGGAAGGGGGGTGTAATTTGGTTAGGAAGCTATAGGCAAGCAAGTGCCTGTTTCCCGGGGTTGGGGACGAGCTGCTCTCATTTCAAGGGTTGGACCCAGGCAGAGGAGAGGCAGGGAGTATGGTCCCAGTGCTCAGGGTGGAGCATGTTTATAGGAGGAGGAGTCCTGGGGGTCCCAGGGGACCACAAGAGATTTTCCCAGCAGCTTTCCTTCTGTGCCCTGTGGAGCCTTTGGCACCAGAGAGGGGCCACTCAGAGTTTCCAGAAACATTTCCAACACATGGGAGGGGGAGCTCCTCTGGTCCTGGAGCCTGCCCTTAATACAGGAATGATGAATGAGACAGACGCAGTGAGAGGGACACAGGGATGGAAACCAAGAGACCCAGAGATAGAAATAAGAGACAATGAAGTAAAGAGACTGACACAAGCAGGAAAGAGTGACCCTGGGCACAGTTGCTAGAGTTGGTGGGACAAAAGAGAGGTGTGAAAGGTGAAATTTATACACATATACACAGAGGTGGGGAAACAATGACTCCACAGACGTGTATGTTTACACATATACATACACATGCAATGGGCCAATAGAGGGGGGTGAGGGACACACGGAGGAAGGCAGCACAAGAAGGATCTTCTAAGGAAATGGTACTGGGGAGGGGCTGGGCGGATGAGGGTGGAGGCCCACCCCTGACGGTAGTGGGGTGGTCCCCATGTTCCCAGGCAGCGGACAACACATTTTGATCTTGTTGTCTTTCCGATGTTCCCGTTGCTCCTGGCTCTGCTCCTTAGAACCTACGCCCATTGACTCCCTGGACTCACTCTACTCCCTCTTAACCTGTGCTGCTGCTATTTTTCTCTGGTCTCCTTGCTGTCTTCACTCCTGACTCAGGTTCTGTCTGGTCCTCTAAATAGTCCCAGATGAAGCTTAGGGACAGAAAGGAATGGGGGAGGATCCCCCTGACCACAGTTGTTAAGAGAATGGAAGGATACAGAGATGCTGGAGAGGCAACAGGACAAAGCATGGTGATGCTCCGTCCCTGATCTTGGCAGGGAGGATTTAAAGAGCTTTTGGACTGGGGAAAGGGAGAAAAGAGAACTTGTTTGTAAGCTGAGCTCAGACAACCAGGTTGACCCTGACCATCCCAGGGGAACGTGTTCCAGAGACACTAAGTCCCAGTTGGAACACCTCACACTGTCCTCCGCACCTTAGAAACAGCTCTAATCCCAAGGGGGCCCCAGAAAAAGAGGCCACTCCTAAACCCCATGCCCTCCTCCATGTCCCCTCTTTTCCAAAGGACACAGGCACCAGTCCAGCTTCTAAAATAAACAATGTTGCCAAGTTTCATGGGATAACATACACAGTACGGTGCTGAGTTTTGAACTGGGAATTAGGAGACCCAGGTTCCATTCTTTGCCAGGCCTGTTTCTTTAGCTACAAAATAGGAATGGAAACACCTGACCCACTCATTGTACCAAATGAAGCACTTGCTATATTCACACCAAGCATGATCAGGAGGTAGGCTTCAGGACTCCAGAAGGGGGCATCCCAGCATAAAGAACTCTTGGGCAACTCACTCAACCCTGAGATTAGCAACAACAGAGCTAGCCCAGGAGCCCAGTCTAGGGTAGGTCCTTTCTCCTTTTTAGGTCACAGAACACTGATAGGGTAAAACTTCTCTGAGGCCCCTTTATGAAGGGGATGAGCCAGAATGGGGATGGAGAGGGATCATTCCCAAAGAACATGAACATTGGTGACTGATATCACTAACTTGCTTTTCCTGCAGCAACTTAATCAAAAATTTGTTTGGGGTTTACAGAACTCCTCTTGTTTGGCAATGAAAAGTTAGGGGACAGAGCAGGTGGGCATTGTGTGCAGGTTTGTTGAAAAGAGGCACTAAGAAGAGCTGAGCAATGATCCTCTTCTAAAGAAGTCTGGGACATAACCCTTTCTTGGGAACTATGCACCCTGATCTCCCTCCCTTTAATGAAATGCCCTATCCAATTCTTTCCACCCTCAACATTTTCCCCACCTGGGGGCCACCTGCCAAAAAGGCTCCCAGGCCTGTGCAGGGAGGGACCTGTTGCTTTCTCGTTCCATGTTCTCCAGTGCTGGGGCTGGACATCCTCGATTGCCTGTGATTCTGGCCAGACTGTCCTCTAGCCAGTAGCAAAGTCCCCTTATTCTCCAGGGCTCTAGCTTTGACTCCAAGATAAATATTTAACACAGACGTTGCGGCTGAGCTGACTAATGTCCTGACTTCCTGTTTGTCATGAGGGAGGGTTAAGGGAATTGAGGATGGCCTACCAGTCTCATTCACCACTATGGGAATAGGCATTTGAGTAAATGGATTGATAATGTTGGGAGGAGGTGGGTAGAGGGTAGATTGGGGAAGAGTGGCTAAATGGGCCTATCCTCTTCTGCCTTCTTGATACCTACGTAAATGAAATTTGGCCTGCCAACCCAAGGCCCCGAGCTCAACCGGGCTTATTAAATGCCATGGAGCAGGCAAAAGCAAAACATGTCACGTGACATTTGTGTTAAGTCAGACACCATCACTTTCTCTTCCTGGTTTTTTTTTCCCCCTTCTTTCTCCTCTAACCATGAGGAAGGCTGGCTGCCCAGTTGTAGCTGCTGGAAGGGAGCTGTGACAATAATGCCCTCCATCACCCACCCAACATGCTTCGAGAGAAGTCAAAGGCATGAAGGAAATACTCAGAGCTTCCCAGAGTATGGAGCGGGAGAAACCTACAGATTCCTGCCTTTTTGATGAGGACAGGATAAGCTCTTCCATCTGGAAACCCCCGGCCTCAGGTTTCTCAGCTCCTCTGTTTCTGGTCTCAACTGCAACTGTTATGGCCTGATGAAATCATCAGGCCTTCTCTCTTTCTCTCCGCTCCCCTCCAGGGGAGGGATGGGAGGGAGAGGGAGCCTGTCTGCTTTCAGGGAACTTGCTCCTGCTGTTCCATTTCCCCAACACTCTCTTAGAGACACCAGTACTACAACACTTTGTTCTTCTTTCCCCAGCTACCTGATGTAGCAGTCACAGGTGTTCTTTGCTTCCAGCCCTCAAATCTGTCCTGCCCTGCCACCTCCCTTGCCGGTCTTTTCTGATATTTTGCATGTTATATAACATGTGTAAATAGAAATCTATCCATCCTCCACACCTATTATAATAGCTGACATTTATATAATAGCACTTGAAGGTTAGCAAATCACTTTACATACACTATGTCACTGAAGCCTCAGGAACCTGTCAGGTAGATATTTGTCCCCCTGGTCTAGACAACAGACACAGAGACAGAGAGAGAGAGAAAGAGAGAGAGAGAGAGAGAGAGAGAGAGAGAGAGAGAGAGAGAGAGA